CCATCATTACACAGGACCCCTCCCCCATACTATCCCTATCATTACACAGGACCCTTCCCCCATCCTTACACAGAACCCTTCCCCCACTATCCCCATCATTACAGAGAACCTCCATTATTACACAGGACCCCTCCCCCATATTATATTCATCATTACAAAGAACCTCCATTATTACACAGGACCCCTCCCCCACACTATCCCCATCATTACTCAGGACCCCTCCCCCATCATTACCCAGGACCCCCCTCCTCCATACTACAACCATCATCACACAGGACCCCTCCCCCATCAGTACACAGGACCCCCCTTCTCCATATTACCCCATCATTACACAGGACCTCCATCATTACACAAGAACCCCTCCCCCATACTATCCCCATCATTACACAGGACCCCCCCCCTCCCCCATACTACCCCCATCATTACACAGGACCCCCCTCCCTCATACTACCCCCATCATTACACAGGACCCCTCCCTCATACTACCCCCATCATTACATAGGACCCTCTAAGAAGTTCTTCGATGGCCTGCGGTCTGTCGGTGAAGGAGAGGGATCGGTGTGACTGTGCCCTGAACTGACAGGTTCTCACCCTGGACAGGTTTACCTTGCCAAGCTGGCCAATCACCACACAGACTGGAGACAAAACACCCAACCAATCACCAGCACCCCCAACATCCAATTCTGCCCTCATCTCCTGAGCGATAACCAAATCCACTTACCATCTATTTGGGAGCAGCGAGGGCTCGAGGTGCAGCTCAGCTGCTTTGGGCACCACCACAATGACTGGGCCCGGGGTAGCTGCCCCTTTTGCCCGCATTAAAGAAGGCCATGGTTGTGAGCAGGGGCGGACTGACAACTCATGGGGGCCCCCCGGGCAATAGGGGATCATGGGGCCCCTGTGTCCTTCCCCAAACTCAAAAAAGCCTATGAAAAAGGTACCAGGGGCATCTCATGGGGCCCTCCTACTGACCCCGGGCCCTCAGGCAGTGCCCGAGTTTCCAAATGGTCAGTCCGCCCCTGGTTGTGAGTTAGCAAATGTTGTAAGACAATGGGAACAAGTAGGAAAAAAGTTTGTTAAAAAAAAATATCTCCCATGGTGCTCAGTTAGGCTTCGTAGCCAATTATGAGCTTCCAATTGGTTTCTCCTTAGGTGCCTCGAGCTTTCGTCAACTTGGTGGAGATCATGGAGGTAGAGGGGCTACGCTCGGTGACCGCTGACAACATTGGCTGCACCCTCTTCAAACCGTAAGTGTGGACTTGCTTCTACTGTACAGACTTCCAGACTGACTGGCAAGCGTGTGATGTCTCCAACAACATGGCTTCCATTGGCCACACAAACCGCCTGTGAGGACACAAATGTGGGAGATGTCGCTGCCGACTTGTTTGATAGACACATCCTCCAGAGCTGTCATTCTCATCCTGGCTTCACTGCCTTGTCATTCACTGACTTGGAACGAGCCCAGGAAGTATGTGTCTGTAAATGGAAGCTGGAGCTATTGAGCTGTGTAAACCTTTGGTAGGGATAATAAAGTGTAAGATCCTCGGGGGCGGGTCTAATGAGACTGGCTCAGTATTCTGTGCTCTGAGGAATGAATATCAATCTCCACGTTTAGTGACAGTAGACACACCCATTAGTTCACATCTGTAATTACTTAAAATGCATACATTTTTTTGTTTCAGTTCTGCTAGCGTCATCACTAAAATCAACTGAAAGTTAAAAGCAGTCTTGCAGAGGAAGCAGATATGGGCTGAAGGGAAAAGAAGAGACAGAGCTCATAGATTGTCTCTAGCGTGGTGATATTCACTCGCAGGCAGTAGGCAGGGCAGCGTAGAACAGCAGCGGGAGCCATACTTTACCCACTTCAGGTCCCTTCATGACCAGGCCGTTTTTTTTTGCTATTCAGCACTGTGCTACTTTAACTGCCAATTGCAGGGTCATGCAACGCTGTACCCAAATGAAATTTATATCATTCTGTTCAGCTTTCTTTTGGTGCTATTTGATCACCGCTGGAGTTTTTTATTTTTGTGTGATAAAAAAAAAATTTAAAAAAAATATTTTCTACTTTCTGCTATAAAACATATCCAATAAAAAATTTTAAATCAAATTTCTTCATAAATTTTGGCCAAAATGTATTCTGCTCCATGTCTTTGATAATACAAAAATTCCAGTAAGTGTGCATTGATTGGTTTGTGTGAAATTTATCGCACCTACAAACTATGGGAGATACGTCACGGAACGGACCCCAGACTGCACTTGGGTACTTCCATTAGACTCCCGCTTCCCCATCCGAACACCGACCACCGACACCACCGCTGACCATACAAGACTAGACGACACCATCTTGAAGTAAACCAGGAGGTAGACTACTTTATTTTAACACAGATAAAATATATATACATTCAAGGGAACAATCCCCCCCTCCCTGCATAATGACACAGGGCAGGGCAATCCCCCCTCCCTGCATAACGACACAGGGCGGGGCAATCCCCCCTCCCTGCATTATGACACAGGGCGGGGCAATCTACCTTTAGTAACAAGAGACACACCAACAGACAGTCCCATCAGGAGGGAGGGCTGCTGGAGACACCCCCTCCACCAAGCCAATACCCATAAACACATACATCCCACAATAGTTTGCTCCCAAGCAAGACACACAATAGAACAATGGGATGCAACCACATGACATTAACCAATCAACAACCCCCCACCCCAATACTAGGACAGATCACCCTGTACCCCTAACAGGCACAGGGTGACTTATACATAATAGGGATATGGGGAGCTGAGACAGGGGTCTCCCCACCTCTCCAACGTGAGCTGTGTTCCATGGGCCCCCCACCCAAAGTGACTCCTGTCACAAGATACACTGGGATTTTAATGTTTTTATTTTTTTTTTGTACTAGTAATGGTGGTGACCAGCAACTTATAATACTTAATATGGAAAGGTTTCTTCACAGTAAGAGCTGTGAGAATGTGGAATAGACTCCCTCCAGAGTTGGTTGTGGCCAGCTCAGTGGGTTGCTGTAGGAAAGTCCTGGATTCTTTCTTGGATACACAGAATATAACTGGATATAACATTTATAGGGAACGTTCATCCAGGGAATATCCAATTGCCTCTCGGGGGATCAGGAAGGAATTTTTTTTCCCAGCAGGAGCAAATTGGATCGTGTTTTGCTGGGCTTTTTTGCCTTCCTCTGGATAAACTGTGGGAGGATTATAACTTTTTTCTTTTTTAATGTGTGCTGGATGGACTTTTGCCTTTTTTCGGCCAGACTAACTATGTAACTATATACGGGTACGTTGCTTTATCTACAGCGGCCGCCCAATCGCAGTACATTGAGGGCGGGCGGGAGGGCAGGCGAGCACTAAGTGGTTGCGCACTGTTGGGAAGGCAAAGCGGTCCTTTGTACATCTTGTGCTTCTCATGTATTTCACTGACGCTCCCTTGTAATAAATATAAATCCACCTGTCCCATTGCAGGATGGCTTGCCCGTGCTTTATTAATCCGCGAGATGGATCTCCGGAGCTGAACGAGATCACGAAATTCAACAGAGATCTGCAGGTGAGGATGTGACTGGGTGGGGGCGCTCTTCTCTCAGCAGTGACCCGTGAACGCAGACCGAGATCACCACTCAAGGCTTCCAATATATGACTCCGCTTTGGGAGAACCCGAAGAAACCATTCGAATTTCACAAACATTTATGGCCACTTTGTATATATTTTATTGTGTTTGTTATGTTTAGGATTAAAAATGAATCTTGTTTTGTTTGTTAGGCGAGGTCATGTGAAATGTTGCCTAGAAATAGGTTATTTTTTTCATTTCATTTAGCTCTTGATCCCTTTTCACACTTTTCTGGGTATTGTTCGATGAGCTGAAATTTACATGCAAAAGTCAATGGAGGGGGGAGGGGGATTAACAAAGAGCGGTGCAAGCATAATGCCTGCTTCAATCTTCTAAGCTTTGTTCATTGGGACTTTCTCCGGGTTCTGTGCTGTGTCTGAGACAGACACAGCATAGAGCGGCATGCAGGGCCAGGACTAGAGGTGGGCAAAAGCGGCGGTTGCCCTGGGCACAGTAGTATTATGTTGGGGGGGGTGAGATTTTGGCTTTCAAAGGCAATTTATGCTCAGGGGGTAAAAATACAGATTAGTGCTCACATCTTTTTTTTGGGAGCTAACACACAATGCTCATACATGTTGGGGGGAGGGGGGGGCCAGGTGCAGACTGACCATTTGAGCACTCGGGCATTGCCCGAGGGCCCAGGGTCACTAGGGGGCCCCACGAGATGCCCTTGGTACCTTTCATTGGCTTTTTCATAGGCTTTTTTGGGTGTGGGCGAGGACACAGGGGCCCCATGATCCCCTTTTGCCTGGGGGCCCCATGAGTTGTCAGTCCACCCCTGGGGGGGGGGGGGCATTTGGCATCTTTGCCCTGGGTGCTAGATGGCCTTGTCCCAGCACTGGCTACTCCGATCGCGCTGCTCGTCTTTGCATCTACTCAGCTGAGATCAGGAGGGTTGTACCATCTCTGCTCGTGTAGTGTAGTGTTATCACTGCACAAGCAGAGAGGGGGATATGAGTTGTCTGCAGGCGGCTGACAATGCGTACACCGGGTCCAACCTGGCAAGGATCTGCGGACAGTTTTTCATACTGAAAACTGTTATGATCTCTTTGTTAATTAGGACCATCTGCTCCCTGTTCTATGCTGTGTCTGGGACAGACACAGCATAGAACATTAGAGCTGCATGCTCCAATCCCTCTGCCTGTCTCTGCACCTACTCAGCTGGGATGTGGTGGGTGGAAAGTTGTGCAAGCTCTACTCGTGTAGTGTAATCACTGCACAAGCAGAGAAAGAGATGTGAGCTGCCTACAGACAGCTCCCCTTCCATACACCAGGTCCAACCTGGTGGGTTCGGCGGCAGTTTTCTATACTAAAAACTGCTGTGATCTCTTTGTTTATTAGTCGCGGAACCTACGCCGGTTTCTATTTCACTCACCTAAAACTGGTCTATCTGCTCAGTTAATATGGCACACACCCCTCCGGACAGTTCCCTGCACCAGGAAGAGGGCGCTTAGTCAATTCCCCGGAATGAGTCTGACCTGGGACCAGGGATGGACTAACAACTCTTGGGACCCCCCCGGGCAATAGGGGATCATGGGGCCCCTATGTCCTTGCATAAACTCAAAAAAGCCTATGAAAAAGGTACCAGGGGCATCTCATGGGGCCCCCTACTGACCCCGGGCCCTCGGGCAGTGCCCGAGTTTCCAAATGGTCAGTCCCTGCCTTGGACTCTTCCCCCACCCAATGACTCCAATCAACATTTCAATTAAAGACAGAAAGCCTGATAGGGGAATAAATGCGCTGTGTTTCTCTCTAGATAACCCATAGTGCTCTGGGGATCCTCTGTCATGTATTAAAGCGTATCTAAACCTAGAAACAAAAATGTAATATGTTGCAGAATACCGGTCCTTAGATACAATGTTTGCATTTTATAAAAACATACATTTAATGGAGTATCAGTGATTACAGAGCTGCAATATTTGGAGTCTTTTATATCTGCCCGGGGTTCAGTTTTTATTTGTTTTGTAGGCATACAGAGGTCATTCCGGGTGTTTTGTAGTAATTTATAGTTCTGTATAATTTGAATTTGATTTTTACATTCATTCTCTTCAGGTTCACCTGACCAAATTGCCAGAAAAATATGCTGACCGGGAGGACTTTGCTGCAGTGGCTCAGCCCTTCTTCAGGAACACAATTGTACCAGTTGACAACGTAAGTCTCACATTTGTCATTAATAATTACCGCCCCTTTACCAATCAAATCCTCCCTCCAGCCTTCCCTTCAGTCTTGCACAGGTGTACCGGCTCCTCCCCTTCAGTCTTGTACAGGCGTATCGGCTCCTCCCCTTCAGTCTTGCACAGGTGTATCGGCTCCTCCCCTTCAGTCTTGCACAGGTGTACAGGCTCCTCCCCTTAAGTCTTGCACAGGTGTACCTGCTCCTCCCCTTCAGTCTTGCACAGGTATACTGGCTTCTCCCCTTCAGTCTTGCACAGGTGTACCAGCTCCTCTCCCTTCAGTCTTGCACAGGTGTACCGGCTCCTCCCCTTCAGTCTTGCACAGGTGTACCAGCTCCTCCCCTTCAGTCTTGCACAGGTGTACCGGCTCCTCCCCTTCAGTCTTGCACAGGTGTACCAGCTCCTCCCCTTCAGTCTTGCACAGGTGTACCGGCTCCTCCCCTTCAGTCTTGCACAGGTGTACCAGCTCCTCCCCTTCAGTCTTGCACAGGTGTACCAGTCTCCTCCCATTCAGTCTTGCACAGGTGTACCGTCTCCTCCCCTTCAGTCTTGCACAGGTGTACCGGCTCCTCCCCTTCAGTCTTGTACAGGTGTACCAGCTCCTCCCCTTCAGTCTTGCACAGGTGTACCAGCTCCTCCCCTTCAGTCTTGCACAGGTGTACAGGCTCCTTCCCTGGATTGATATGGCTTCCTCTGATATCACCGCACACTGTCAGTTTCTCCCCATGTGCATTAAAAGCTGCAGCCAGTCAGACAGAGCTCCACCTCCTAATCTAGAGCTCCGCCTCATTTCCTGGCTGGAGGACATCCAGCATTAGCCTGACTGTCCCTTGCCCCACACCTTTCATTCATTGGATTTCAGTTCCTTCAATCATGGAGGCTCAGGATCACATGTGGGCGTTACTTGTGCAAATACAGCCCACTTAGGGACTCCCTCTGATATTCCCTTCCCTAATATTTGCATAACTCCTCCCACTGCTTGCGTCAGAACTGAGGGCACAGTGCTGAAGGCTGGTGCTGTGATGTTTATAAGAAGCTATGTACAGCCCCCTGCTGGCCCTTCCCACCAGCCATGATCTGCCTGATTTGCATAAAGAAGCACAGAGACCCAGTATAAAATAATGTACAATGAGATGAATACATTTTATGTTTGAATTCAATGAGTTGTAATCTTTCCTCAGCTCGGCGAGCCGGACATGACCTACTTCTCCAAGGACTGCTTCCACTTTGCTGAACGTGGACATGCAGAAATGGCAAAGGCATTGTGGAAAAACATGGTACGTTGGGTCACCCTTCGGCCAGCAGTGGGCGCTGCGCTGTCCTGTGTGCAGGAAATGCAGAACAGAAGTACAAAAAATGAGAGCTGTTTGCAGATGAATGAGGGTGGTGCAGATGAATGAGCGTGGTGCAGATGAATGAGGGTGGTGCAGATGAATGAGCGTGGCGTGATGAATGCAGGAATGTGGGCATGGCTCCCCCGGTGCCTTGGCTAAAGTACAATCCTGTGAGCATTCCTGGCATACAGAGATGTGAATTTCGGTCTCTTGCACCCTCTTTGCAGCCACTTCACGTCTACATCCACTGCAGGGATGGCTACATGGCATTCCTCCGGACAGGTTTTCCTGATGGTGACAACAGTGGACCATAACATGTAATGAAGTGGCCATTTGTAGTCTCTGTTGGAAGCCTTTGTGACAATCCTTGCAATGTATGATGGGAACATAGGAGACATGAGAAGAGGGGACAACTAAAACCCTACGGGAAGACATTGGGAGGTTGAGGTGCATGGCGGGACTGGTGGGGACATGAGGGGACTGGATGCTGCTCCAAGATGGCGGCCCGGACTCAACTTTTTTATTTTCTGTGTCTTTCAGCTGGAGCCAGTTGGACAGAAAACCGACTACAACAACTACACCTACGACCGGAGCAATGTGAAATGTCCAACCAATGTAAGTGACCCAGACTCCGAGCTCCAACTATTCATATCCAGTAAAATCACCGAGTGGGATCAGAGCACACATCACATCCCCACAAACAACCCCCCCCCATCCCAAGATCACATCCCCACAAACAACTCCCCCCCCATCTCAAGATCACATCCCCACTGACAACTCCCCCCCCATCCCAAAATCTCATCCCCACAAACAACTCCCCCCCCCCCCCATCCCAAGATCACATCACCACTGACAACTCCCCCCCCATCCCAAAATCTCATCCCCACAAACAACTCCCCCCCCCCCCATCCCAAGATCACATCACCACTGAAACCCCCCCCCATCCCAAGATCACATCCCACAAACAACTCCCCCCCATCTTCAGATCACATCCCCACAAACAACCCCCCCCCCCCATCCCAGATCACATCCCCACTGACAACTCCCCCCCATCCCAAGATCACATCCCCACAAACAACTCCCCCCCCCCCATCCCAAGATCACATCACCACAAACAACTCCCCCCCTATCCCAAGATCTCATCCCCACAAACAAACTCCCCCCCCCCCATCCCAAGATCACATCCCCACAAACAACTCCCATCTTCAGATCACATCCCCACAAACAACTCCCCCATCCTCAGATCACATCCCCACAAACATCTCCCCCATCCCAAGATCACATCCCCACAAACAACTCCCCCCCCATCCCAAGATCACATCCCCACAACAACTCCCCCATCCTCAGATCACACATCCCTCAAACAACCCCCCCCCATCCCAGAACACATCCCCACAAACATCTCCCCATCCCAAGATCACATCCCCACAAACAACTCCCCCCCATCCCAAGATCACATCCCCACAATGTTCTCCCCATCCTCAGAACACATCGCCTCAAACAACTCCCCCATCCTCAGAACACGTCACTCCCCACAAACAATTCCCCCATCCCAAGATCACATCCCCACAAACAATGTCCCCCCCCCATCCTCAGATCACATCCCCACAAACAACTCCCCCATCCTCAGAACACATCCCCACAAACATCTCCCCCATCCCAAGATCACATCCCCACAAACAACTCCCCCCCATCCCAAGATCACATCCCCACAATGTTCTCCCCATCCTCAGAACACATCGCCTCAAACAACTCCCCCATCCTCAGAACACGTCTCCTCAAACAATTCCCCCATCCCAAGATCACATCCCCACAAACAACTCCCCCCCCATCCTCAGATCACATCCCCACAAACAACTCCCCCATCCTCAGAACACGTCTCCTCAAACAACTCCCCCCATCCCAAGATCACATCTTCCCAAAGCAACACCCCCCCCCCCCCCATCCCCAGTTCACTTCCCCAAAAACAACTCCTTTCTATCCCCAGATCACGTCCCCCCACAAACAACCCCCCCCCCATCTCCAGAACACATTCTCACAAACAGCTCCCCACTAACAACAGATCATATCCCCGCAAAGGAGTTGTTTGTGGAGACGTGATCTGGGGATGGGGGATGTTGTTTGCGGGGATGAGATCTGGGGATGGGGGGAATTGTTTGCGGGGACCTCATCTGGGGATGGGGGGAATTGTTTGCGGGGACCTCATCTGGGGATGGGGGGAATTGTTTGCGGGGACCTCATCTGGGGATGGGGGGAATTGTTTGCGGGGACCTCATCTGGGGATGGGGGGAATTGATTGCGGGGACCTCATCTGGGGATGGGGGGAATTGTTTGCGGGGACCTCATCTGGGGATGGGGGGAATTGATTGCGGGGACCTGAGATCTGGGGATGGGGGGAATTGTTTGCGGGGTCATCATCTGGGGATGGGGGGAATTGTTTGCGGGGATGAGATCTGGGGATGGGGGATGTTGTTTGCGGGGTCATCATCTGGGGATGGGGGGAATTGTTTGCGGGGATGAGATCTGGGGATGGGGGAATTGTTTGCGGGGACCTCATCTGGGGATGGGGGAATTGTTTGCGGGGATGAGATCTGGGGATGGGGGAATTGTTTGCGGGGACCTCATCTGGGGATGGGGGGAATTGTTTGCGGGGATGAGATCTGGGGATGGGGGAATTGTTTGCGGGGACCTCATCTGGGGATGGGGGGAATTGTTTGCGGGGATGAGATCTGGGGATGGGGGAATTGTTTGTGGGGACCTCATCTGGGGATGGGGGGAATTGTTTGCGGGGACCTCATCTGGGGATGGGGGGAATTGTTTGCGGGGACCTCATCTGGGGATGGGGAGAATTGTTTGCGGGGACCTCATCTGGGGATGAGTGGAGTTGTTTGCAGAAATGTGCCCTAGAGATGGGTAGGAGGAGTTGTTTGAGGGAACGTGTACTGGGTATGGGGGAGTTGTTAGGATGTGATGTGGGGATGGAGGGGAATTGTTTGCAGGGATGTGATTTGGGGGGGGTGGGGGGGATTTTTTGGGGAAAGGCGACCTTGGCATGGGGGGAATGGGTAGAGATGGGTAAGAGGCGTTGTTTGAGGGAACGTGTACTGAGGATGGGCGGGTTGGAGTTGTCAGACCTGGACTTAACCTTTAGGTGGTTGGAGAGGGTTGGATGAAGCTGCAGGTATAGTAGAGACCCCCTTTGTCACCTGTCCTATGTTGTGTTGTCCTAGGACCACCCTTACCTCTTCACTCTGAAGAACAGTGGTCTTCCCCAGGACTTCATCGAACCTGAGAAAGAAGATGGTGAAAGCCAGGTGCCGTACTGGGCCGTGATCGTGGCCTCCATCGGCGGCGTGGCTCTGGGATGTATGGTTGTGGGTATTGCCATGAATGTGTCCTATAAGAAGAAACTCCGCAAACAGAAGAAGCCAGACAAAAATGGCACCATCTTTTGAGGGGCCCGGCACATGCCATGTCCTTCAGAGGCCATAGTGCCGGTTTTGTAGACTGTGGCCTTTATTTTAAAAGGGAAAGGGCTGACGTGCAAACCCACAGCCGCCAATCAGAAGCCATCTTATATTGTGACTACTCCTAACGAATCAATCTGATTGGTTGCTGAGGCTTTAAGCACATCATGACCCTTTGCATTGCTCCCTTAGGTAAGCCCTCATGTCTCCGGTATATTCAGGTTGTTGTCCTGAAGACTTCTCAGAATCTCCTGCTGTTGGATCCATCATAACCTCTGGAGAAGATCTTTGGCCGCCATGTTTCCAATACTAAATTGTTAAAGCCCAACTCCAGCTAAAACCGTTTCCTTTATAGTCTTGGACAGAAAGCGGAAGGTTTGGGACCTCTGTCATCGTTTTTATTGCTCTCTGTTTCCCCAAAATCTGTCAAGACAGAAAACCTCTACACCTCCTGTCTAGTTGACTAGCATCAAACAGAACCGGAAAAGAAGGGAAATCTTCCCACTTCCTGTCTAGTTGACTAGCATCAAACAGAACCGGAAAAGAAGGGAAATCTTCCCACTTCCTGTCTAGTTGACAAGCGTCAAACTGAACCGGAAAAGAAGGGAAATTTCCTCACTTCCTGTCTATTTGACAGACTTCAGACAGAACAGGAATAGAGGACAAATCTAACTTCCTGTCTAGTTGCAGTATCTAACAGAACAGGAAGAGAAGGGAAATTTCCTCACTTCCTGTCTAGTTGACAAACATCAGAAAAAACAGGATCAGAAGGGAAATCTCACTTCCAATCTAGTTGACAGTATCTTACAGGACGAGAAGGGAAATCTCCCCACTTCCGGTGTACTGACAAGCAGACAGAAGAGGAAGAGAAGGGAAATTTCCTCACTTCCTGTCTCGTTGACAAACAACAGAAAGAACAGGATCAGAGGGGAAGTCTCACTTGCTGTCTAGTTGACAGTATCTAACAGAACAGGAAGAGAAGAGAAATTTCCCCACTTCCTGTCTAGTTGACAAACATTACAAAGAACAGGATCAGAGGGGAAATCTCACTTCCTGTCTAATTGACAG